GTCATTTCTCAACTGAGCTACGGCCACTGCAATTTTAGCTGTTCACTTTGTCCCTGGAGGGAAGCTGGGCCATTCCAGCCTTGCAGGAGGAGGACATCTGCAATCAGGCACCAGGGACRTGTGGCCAGAAATCTAATAGAGCAGCACATCAAACCTGGATGCTGTTGGGTGCCAGGTCTGGTGTTCAAAACCAGTTACAATGAGTAATTTTTACAGGGTAGCCCTCTGAAATGAGCAGGGTTTGGGGAGAACCTCTTCAGGTCTGTGTTCACATCCAGAAAGGACTCTGCTGCAAAGCCCCAAACAATGCTTTTCAAGGTGACTTCTTTGTGCGTTTTGTGAGTGAGATTAAGTCTGTACAACAACAAAAATAGCAGTGTTAGGTATTGGCATGGAAAATACTGCTTTAATCTTTAATCTTGGATATATGCAGGCAACATTAATAGACTCTGTGCTTCTAATTTGGCTTCATGTTTTTTATATAATTTTTCATTTTTCTCATTGTACTTGATGTCCTTTGGAAGCGCAGAGGGAAGGTGCCGCTCACAAACAGCTAGGCACGAGCTGCGCAGGTGACCCGTCCTGTAGCGAGCCCACGGACGTGCATCTGTGGCACTGTCGGAGTGGGGAACCCCAGGATCAGGACAGTGCTTCTCCGGGATGACTTTTTGTCCTGATTTCAGTCTTACAGATGTCCCTAGCATACAAGGTTTGCAATTAACCCAGCACTRTAAGTGCTGCAGAGCAAAGGAAACCCTTCTTCAGAAGGTCAGATGTCCTGCCTGTGTTTGTACCCCTGGACTTTACACATGAGCCCAGTTTATCATTAGCAGCTGCTGATGCTCTAATCCTGACTACTGAGCTTTAATTTGTCCTATATTGCAAATTGTTTAAGTTCTGCTGTCGTACCAGGCTCCTATTTTGAAATCATTATGCAATACAAATAACTCTTTGCTTTAGTAAAAGGTGATGAAGGAGAAATGAAGGATTAAATCCAGGAAAATGGAAGAGTCTGGTTTGGGAGAACTTAACGTTTGCATCGGCAGGTGTGGGATTACTGGACCCCAAAAGGCTCAAATTTGAGTATCCTTCCAAGCAAGTATTTATTGGATACTCTTTTATTTTTCAATGTATATGTGTAGCTTTGATTTGTTTGTGCTAGTGTTGTGCTTTATTTTTAGTCCCTGCTTCTCCAAAGAGGACATCTCAAAGGACATTTAATGACCCGTTTAAGACTCATTTAATGTCCTTTGTGCTAATGAGCTTCCATGGTGTTCCCTATCCCTCCTGGCACTGAGGAGTTAATGCAGAGCTTAGTTTTGTGTCTTGTCTTTGAAGCATTTTGGATGTGTTTGTCTTTTCCAAGTCCGGAGTGTAGCCTGGAAAAGCAGAGGGGGAAAGCACTTGAAGGGGAAGGTAGTTAAGAGGTGAACTGTGCACCAGGAAAGCTTTTGTTGACTTGGCCTCTTCCTCTTGAGGCTTCATCAGGGCTTCCTGCGAGGATGCAGGATGCGCGCGGGGAACCCGGTGCCTAAGCGGCGCCTCCACGTGGCCTGTGGTACACGGGGAACAGCCCCTGACCGAGCAAGGCGGGACGGCAACGGGCCCACGGGTCCGTCCCAGCGAGGTTCGCATGGGGTAGGAGGCGAAGCCTGGAGCACAGCGGCATGTTTCCTGTGTGGAAGCTAGGGCAGATCCATATTTGTAGTGGGGGGGAAACACTGCCAAGACAAACACTGGCAAAAATCTCCTCTTTGCCTTCTCCTTGATCCAGCTGTACAGGCTGGATTGCTTTATTTCTTCTTAATGTAAAGTGTTAAGAGAATTTCTTTTTTTCCCTCTCTTTTTTTAACTTAAAATCATTTAGCAAGAGTCAGACAGTGAGCAGGAATGTTGCCAAGATATACAGAAATATCCTATCGCAGCGCTGCCTTTGGAGACCTTGGAAAGACTTTAATGAAAAAGACAGATTTTTTTCCCATCGTTGTGTCTAGGTATTTTGGCCCTAAGTATTGCATGATGGAATGCTCCAATTACAGACAAAAAGTGCTTTGAACTGTGTTAAAGATGAAACCTGACCATGGGGATGCTTTGGATTACTGCAAAGTGGTCTCCCAGTAGCTCTCCTGCCCGCTGCTGCTGTGGAAGCTCAGCAAATAAATGTTCTCACTTGCTCTTTCTTGTCCTTCTTCATATTTCACAGGCTTAAACTGTTAAARTTCAAGGACTCCGTGTAGGAAATAAGTCCTGCACAGGCTGTGCAGGAGCCATAGCATTTATTTTACTGGAATTAAGAACATCTTGGATGCCTCTGTATTCAGGTGCCATCTAATCAGAAGAGGAAACAATTAGGAAGGAAGGAAGGAAGGAAGGAAGGAAGGAGCCTCTTGTTGATTAGTTTTAGAGAGGTGCCCTCAGTTAGCTCTTGTCATCTGGATGCTGTTTCGGTGGCCTTCTCATAAGCAAGAGCCTGTGAGCAAATGGTAATAGTTGCAGAAATGTTAGTAGTTGCAGAATTAAGGGGCCKTGTGTATGTGTAAAGACAACCAGAAGGCTGCAGGCCCAAACTGTGCAGTGCTACCTCAGGGACAGGAGCGGCTCTGGCTGCTCCTCTGCCTGTCTGCACCCAGTTGCATCAAACCTTGTGTCTCATTTAATTATTGTCACGTTTATCCATGCTGCCACCCCAGATATCTCTGCTCCTGCCTGCCTCAGTAGGCTGGGTAGCACTTGCTGTCATTAACAAAAGCAAACAGTGCATGTGTGCAAATACATATATATACGTTTGCAGTCTGTGTAATTTAAATTAGGCAAACAATTGTAAGTATAGCATGGTGAATCTGCTRTTCATTAAACTTGCCTCAAAAGGGCAGGATGCATCAGCAGTCGCCCTCACTCCTTAGGGACCCAGCTGCTCTTGTCGACGTGGCTGTATGTGCTGGAGGAGCTGGACCTGCCCTCGCCAGCAGTTTCCATCCAAGCCTGGACTTGATGGAAAATTCTCGTTTGGTCTGGAAATAGTAATATGTCATTTCCTGAAACAGGCTCGGGGTTTATTGATTCCCTTCCCACCAGCCTGCAGCCCCTATCCCAGCACTGCTGTTGCCATTAGCTGATTTTCATTTGCTCTGACTGTGCCCATAGTTGAACAAGAGCAGAGGACATTTTGTATTTAATTATTTGATGAKGAGAGAAAAGTGAATTCCAGCACCAGCTTGGAAGAAATGTAACAGTGGAACGAACAGAGCTGAGGTACTGTGTGTCTGCAGATCCAAGATCATCATACAAAGTACATTAAAACAAAGCAAGTCAAAATGTACAACTGGCAGAGCAACCTCTGGCGCTGGAGTTGTTTGAGAACAAGGAAGCCCGCCAGCCAGCAAACCTCGCAAATAACAGCCCATTGCTCGCGCATGAACCTCGGTTACAGATGTTCTGGGTGTGCTCTTAGTAAACTTTACCTTTGCCTCGCTCTTTGGGCTGTGGGACAGCTTGCGGGGGAGCATCTCTCTTCCTTTCCATGGCAKAGTTTATGCATTCACTGTTATTTATAGATGCAGATAGGAGCTAAGTAAAGGCAGCTGAATTGTCCAAAAATGCCATCTTTTTCACCTTTAAAAAGAAAAAAAAAATGAATTTGAGTTTATGTGCTCTTTCTGCCCTTAAAAATTAGGAAGATCCGAAGATCCTTTTTTTAAGTGGTTCATCCAAAATGAAAATATTTGGTTTGAAAAATGTTAGGAATTTTGGAGAGAAAGGCTCTGGCTGTGCCTCTGCGCCTGACAGCTACAGCTACCTGCTGGCTGCAAATATTCATGGAGGGAGAATCGCTTCAGTCACTCGCAGAGCTGCATCTTTTAGTGAATAAACTGTTCAAACATTTCTCATTGCCAGGCCGCCGGGGTCAAAGCGCTATCGCCCCACTGGTGACTTTGCCGAAGTCATTATCACAGCCTCTTTGGTCTGTAAAATACGACTGCTAAGTCGCTCTGCGGTCTGCTTGAAGAGGTGTRAGAAACAATTAGCAAGTGTTCACAAAATGATTTGAGTAAGAGATGCTGCGAATTGCTGCCSTCATTCATCATTAGGGGATGCTGTCATCTGCCACACTCTGATTTTGGGTATTAGGTGTATTCATGAGTGGAAGGAAAACACGACAGTGCTATCAATATTTATAGCCCCATCTCCTGGTATTTTAATGATAATTCTCCCTTGCATTCATTGGCTGTTGATCACTTTAAAAAAAAAAACATATTACTGCCCATTCTTTAGGTCTAAAAAATTTGTGCTCTGCTGTGGCAGGCGGTCAGACCGGGCCCCATCTGGGGCTGCACTGCACATGCCAGTGCCTTGAGCTTCCCTCTTTCACAGTTTTCCTCAAGCACATCAGGCCTGGCCTGGCCTGGTGTGACGGAGCTTTTGTCCCTCTGCCTGCAGAAACTCGCACACAAAAGCAGACCACGGGGATACTTGGATAAATCACGTAAACGTGTCTCTCTTACAGGCATGGCAGCTCTTTCTGAGTTTAATAAATGTGTTTGGAGACGATTCAGCTCTCCAAAGAAAAGCAGGGGAAGAGCAGCTGACCCGAGCTGGGATGGCTCAGCTGCTGGAAAGTGTTGGAGGACCTGCTCTTGCCCCATTAAAGTCTGTATCACTTTTCCCATTGATTTCAGTGGTGTCAGGGTAAACCTTCCTTTTAATAATTGCTCACAACCTGAGTAAAATGTCCCTGTTCAGTCTTCTACCAAAGTGGGATGTGAGAATGAGTGTCAAACCAGCACTGCTAATAGAAYAGGTTTCATGGGATGGTTGCCTGCATTGACTCTGCCAGCTCAGAAGGCCTTTTGCAGCCCCAGCTTCCTCTTATGAGTTCTCGTGTGTGTGTTCCAGATATCTTCATTTGTAACTGATTTATGTTTTTGTGTAAGAAATGTTTATAATGCATGGGATATGTCTACTTTTAGTAAGCTGAATATAATTTTTCTCCTCATTTATAGGATGGCTATTTTTCCCACCGACCGAAGGAGAAAATGCGGACAGACAGCAATAATGAAAATTCAGTCCCCAAGGACTTTGAAAACATTGATAACAGTAACTTTGCTCCCAGGACTCAGAGGCAAAAACACCAGACTGAGCTGGTGAAAAAAACCCTTAGCAAGCAAAAGGAGCACTTGAGAAAGAAACTGGAAGAGGAAAAAGTGAAAGAGAACTCACTGTTGGGGAAGAGCTCAAATGAAGTGGTGCAATTTGGTGATCGTCCTGGAAAAAACAGTAGCCACAACAATCTGAAGGACATTCACAGGTCTCCCAGACAGCATCATTTCAAAAAAGTTGGGAACAGCTCCCCTGAACTGAGATATGACCAACCTCTGAAGTGCGAGATAACGGGCAAAGAGGCGATCTCGGCCATGTCCCGGGCTAAGTCTAAGCAGTGTCGACAGGAGATTGCCGAGATCTATTGTCAGCACAAGCACGGGAAGCTGATGCCGGAGAAGGTGACACGTTTCTGTGCRTTGGAGGGTAAGTTGGTACATGGTGAAGAAGAGGTGATGCAGTATCTCGGGGGGAGGATTGTATATATTTATAATACCCACTTGAAGGTAAAAATCAGCTTTAATGTGGGAATTCTAATGTGCTTTTGTGGTCTGTGAAATCRGGGGGAACATATGAAGATATTTTTGAAAGAGGATTATGTGGGTGTTACAGGATCCTTGTTAGATTCCTAATGAATGTTCTTGCCAGTTTTTTTCTGATAGATTATTATTGTATAGCTTCATTTAACTTTGTGACGCTACTTGTATTTCTTTTAGATAGCAGTGACATTTAATCTACAAACACAGATAAATGTTTGTGGTGCAGGTACATGTCCTGTTACTCCACAGAGGGGTCTGCTTTTTGGAGTGAAGGATGAATTCTGGGGTCTTCTGCTAGCTGATAATGAATAATATTGCTGTTCTCTATATAACCATTTCTTATGTTCCTACAATGTCTGGCGCAATGGAGTCATAGCTAGTAATAGGAGTCACTAAGCATTTTGGTAACACAGATAACTAGCATAAGTTTGTAGTTTTTTTCTTTTTGAAAAGCATGAAGAAATCTGATTTTGTGGCCCACTTCTGGTTTTCATGTTCCTCAATCAGCAAAAGTGATTTCCAAAATGACTAGTGTAGACAGTCAGTTCTCATTCATCAGCAAGCCAAGCTTCGGTCTGTTGCTTTTGATTTCTCAGTGCAGTCAGATTTACAGGGTACCTCACAGTTTTGTTTTTGGTTTGCGTGTGTGTGATGCGCTTGTGTCAGGAAGTGTTTCAAATGCCACATTGAGCTGTAAGCTTCCTCTGCACTAAAGTGCTTTTTTAACTATTCATCAAGTGATGAAAGTGGATATTGATCAAGAAACAGCGTGCCCTGCTGTTAGCCCATGTGTGTAAGGAGAGGAGGCACTTACGTTGTCTTTGCTGAGCACATGGAGTGCCTTTTACAAAGCCTTTTAATTTCCATGCTGCATGTTACCTTGGAGAACAGTATGAGTGTCCCATTCCTCACTCCAGTGCATCTGGTTCTCTCTATTGTGTTGTGTCTCTTTGGGTGGTTTTATTCTTTCCTTGTGATGGTAATACTGAAAAACATTAAACCAAGTGGCCCAGTTTTGGAAATCAGAGATTTAACAGAGCAGGTGGAAGACTTGAGGCTCTGTGGAAGCAGGGAGAAGGTGAAACAAGTAAAAGGGAAGATAAAAACGGAGACAAGATCAAACATCAATAGCTGTCTGAGCATCATGAGTACCCACGGGTGCTCCTGAGACCTCTCTGAGCAGGTCATGGGGAAAATCCACAGTCATAAACCATTTCTGGGTGTCCTGCCCTCCTCTTTAGCAGCAGGAAATTCAGCTGAGGTCCCATGGGAACACAGTGGTGCTCAGCACCTTGCAGACACTGCCTGACACCTTTGTAGGAGCAAGGATATCTCTCAATAATGTCATCAATGACAGAGACCTTATGGAGGTTAAATGAATGGTGTATGCACCTATGCAAGAGATACCCTGCAGAGAGCTGGGAGATGTGTTGTCATTTGTGTGGGCACACGCTTCAGCTACGTGCAGTTTTGCACGTGCCTTTGATTTCATTCCCTGCAGGTAATCTATCTCTCTGGGTGACTTTCCCATAAAATCAAAGGCTTTAAACAGCAACCTTCCTTAAAAGCAGACTTCTCTCCAGGAGTATGTCTCGCTTGTTATTTTAAGCACAGAATTACTCTTGTATGCTCTGCGGTCAAGATAGTAACATGTAGTTTTAGAACTAAGAAAATCTTCTCTTTAAAAAAGTGTCACCTTTTAACACTTGAAGCGTTTCAGCATGTGTTTAAATTGCATATTGGCATAGGAAAACACTAACCCACCAAGATGAGTAGAGAAATGATGTATTATCTAATGTGGTCTTATTTTAAAATATATATGAATTTAGTACTAATAAATTATGGATATTCACCATATACAAACTGTAAAAAGTCTGCTGCTGCAAGATTTCAGATTAGCAGGGTACTCCTGGAGTTTCAGTTATTTTAATCAGTGATGTGTAAAAAAACTTAGAACAATTTGGGAATATCTTAACCTAGTCAGGCAGATCCTTGTGGAAAATGTTGACTTTTCTTTGCCTCCAGGTTGTTTCCTCCTGCCCGTGCTGACAGCTGAAGTTACTGCTTCAGCAGACAGACTTTCYTGGCGCGAAAATCTTGCTCATCTAGTGCTAAATGCCTGTTGTTCTAGAGCAGATTTGGGACTTTTGCTCTGGGGACGTGAATGAGCAGCAGTGTTGGGCACTGGAACAGGAGAGGCTCATGCAGGAGGTGCCAGTGCAGCAGCACGGTGGGACTTGGAAACTCCCGAGGGGATTTGGGCTCCAGCGTCACAAATGTCTGCAGACAGGGCTACGCTGGAAGGCGTGCAGGAACCCCAGAGTGGTTCAGCAGGCCAAGCCCATTCTGCAGGACTGATCCCAGCTCAGCTGTTTCTCTGATTCAACTGAATCTTTCCTCATTTTTAAATAAAAGTTGGTAGGCTTACAGCCCTATATAAGACACRTTAAGCCTCAGTTTAACTGTGCCAAGGTCTAGGAAAGCACTAGATTGCTCCTCATTACAAAACACAAGTACTGATGGTGGGCACTTGCAGACAGCTGCTGCATCTCCTGTCAAAGATCTTTTCAACTYCAGATATCTCTAAAGAAGCTGAGCTTAAACAGCAAACGTTTGCTCTGCTTAAGCAGCAAGGGTTCCTCTGGGGAGAAAAGAGAACCCTTTGGCAGCAGTGCTGGCTGTGGGGAAGGTGGACGACTTACCAGTGGTTGCATCTAGAAAAGTGCATGTTGTTTGTCAGCAAGACTCAGTCATCCAGGGCCTCTGAGTCCAAGTATTTAGCATGCGAGTGCTATTCCTTTCAGTTTGGTTTGAGAGGGAAAAAAAATCTGTTTTCAGCAGAGCTGTGAAGTTTAAATATTTATTCATTGGAGAAGCACATTCATCCATTATCCCAATGTATAAACATGTCCCCAGTGCTATGGTTTTCCATTGAGATGTCATTCAGCATTTAATCCCCTTGGATCCAGTCTCAGCTGTTCAAAGCCACGAAGTTGCTAAGTGTAGCTATCAATCACAGACATGACTCCTTCCAGCTGGATTGTCATAAATGTTAAGTGATACATTCATCTGAGTGGCCATCAACAGGAACAGGATCTTACAAGTTCTCTCGTTTTTCTTTCAAGTATTCCATTATTTCCATAGGGAAGAAGCAAAGAAAGTAACTGTCTTCAAGAGTATAAAGCCCAGGCTTGTAGCAGTGYTGTGTTTGCTACTTGTCTGCAGGGAAAGCATTGTCTCCATGAGAATGGAGGAGATGGGCTGCAGTCCCCTGAAGACCTTGCAGAGAGAGCAAGAAATAGGAACTTTCCTGTTACCCGAATTGCAGAGCCTCTGTAAGGCCACGTTTCTACATGAGCYAGGCTTTAGGGGCAGTCTTGCTTGAAGTTGTGTCTGAGATCAGGGCAACAGACAGCTTGCAGTCACTGCAGACTTTCAAGGGAGTTTTGGGGTTTTATAGGAGTGTATTTTGAGGGGAATTCTTAAGGATAAGAATGCAGTGAATGAAGTAGATTAGCGCGTGGTTAGATGAGGAAAGGACAAATCCAGAACTGCACAGAGTGTGGAGAGAAAGACAGCATTTGGGGGAGGCCAGCTTAAAGTTCGGTTCTCTTTGTGAAGATAAGTGACACGTGCTTGTGAGTGGACAAGGCAGTAGACCGTCCTTGCTGAGGCCATCTCCTTTCTGGCCCGCCGTAGGCCGCAAGCTGCTTCCCCTGGTGTACCAGAGGTCATTGCTCACCATAGCTGTTGGTGGGCTTGGATAAGCCCTTTTCTTTCCCTTTCTTCACCCTTCTCTATGGCAGATGTCCTGGAAACAATCAGACGTTTAAATGCTAATTCTTGGCTCCAGACTAAGTTTCACTCTGTACTGAGTTAAACCTTCCTCCTTGACAAGGCACAGCTGACCCGGMCTGTGCTGCTGCACCCCCAGCATTCCATGTAGCATGGGAAGAGTCACAGAATCACAGATATTCAAGGTTGGAAGGGACCTCTAGAGATCACTGGGATGGTCACTACGGCTCCAAGTGCCGCGGTCACTGCACACGTTGTAGTTCAGGACAGTGCTGTCACTTACRTGGCTCCCCATAGGTACAGGATGGGAAAGCTGTGACTCTTGCTTGCAGATCCTCCTTCCTCAAAGAGAAATGTGCAGCTTCTGACCCGCTGGTTGGGTTCGGCCCTTGCGTTCCCAGCCTTTTGCTCCCATGTGGATCTGGGCAGTTGGCAGTGTGGAGTCCCTTGWGCTGCAAGTTTGCTGAGACGCAGCCCGGTTCCTCCTCAGTCCCTGGCACCCGGCCCGTGAGTCACGCCAGGCATGGCGCCAAATGGGATCTAAATCACTCGCTCTCTGGGCCAGCTTCTCCAGGCTGCCATATCCCCAAGGGAGGCTCTGGCTCAGTTCCTGTCATTAATTACCAAACTGGTTTATGCTTGACCCAGATCCATGATCCTAGAGACACCAAAACACATATAACTTTTTTTTTTTTTTTTTGAGGACTCTTCTGATGTGTAGTTCTGGCCAAAGAAAAACACCTACAAAAGCAGAGAGCCTCAAGTAAACCTGATTTATTTCACTTTGATTCTTCTGTTGTCTTTTCCTTATTTATAAATCAAACAGGTTATTTGCTATCTTCATCCCTGTGGGGTAAACCCAGCTCATAAATAAGGTAGAAGAATAATCAGGCTACCCTGATTCCACAACATTCATCAGCACTGAAAGAGTTCCTTGCAGCTTAGACGGCTTTCTGCCAGGTTTCTTATTGATGGTAACGCTGCTCTGTCGCACCAAGGCAAGAGGTCTCAGTCTGCCACAGGCTGCTGAGGAGAAAATGTGCCAGTTTCTTTAGGTAGGCACAGTCGCCATAGGACAGAAATATACTGTAT